GTATTGTGAATGATGCTACTCAGGGCCGGACCTAAGGGGGGGAGTCGCCCCCCCAAAGTCTAGGCAGTTGGTTCCAAATCCAAACACGGTTGGAAAAATCTATTTGGGTACCCAAGCAGCATTTTAAGTAAAAGTGTAGAGCTTTGAGGCAATATTACTTAATTTAAGTAAATATTTTGTTAAATTAATTTAAGTTAATTAACCTTACAAATTTACTTTTAAGTAAAACTTTTTTAAAGTTATTTAATAAGTTTTATTTATGTTATTTTTACCTATTTTAATAACCCTTAAGTTTCAACACTTTAAAGTATTATGAGGGACGTATTTTTTACGAAAGAAAATTACTTATAAGTGTATTTCACCTAAAGGAAAATTTAACGGTAATTTTAACGTCAGAATTTTTACTTAATGGTAAATGTTACTCATAAGTCATAATTTTACGATATTAAGACCACTTTATAACCGTAAATAATTCCTATTCGCCTGGTATTCTTTAGGGTTATTCGGTAATAAATACTTTTAATATTGACTAAACAAAGAAAAATAAGCTTAAAGTAAAAAATAAAACTTTAAGGGAAAATTTTTTTCAGGTCGCCATAATGAATTTTTTAAGATGGCATCCATTACTTATCTAAACATTTATATGATATTTTTTCATAAATATTTTTCTAAAATATAATAAAGAAAGTTTTAGTTATTAAAAAATGATTAAAACTAAATAATTTTTGAAAGATTTTATAAAATTTTGTAGGTTTTAAGTTTTGTTGAATTTTTACCCAAGCAATAATTTTTCTTAAAACTGTAAAATATTTAGAGGGTATGTAATTTTTAAGATGTATCCTGCCTATTTTTATCAATAAAATAATGTGCGTTTGTGTTTTAATGCAAAATATTATTAGTTTTGACAATTTAAGTTATATTTTATAATTTTACTCTAGGGTGACCTTTATTACTTTGTAAGTACCATTTTGTAAAATATTATTTTTACGTAAATTTGTGGTATTTATATTGTTTTTATTACGTTATTCTCTTAGTAGATCCAAAAAGGTTATTATGTAGGTAAAATAACGAAATAAACCATTCCCCAAATTTGGTAATTTTTCGTATCTATACCGTTATAAAACCGTTTTGATTAACCGTAAAAAATACTTTAAAGTTGACTTAGGAGTAAAGTTGTAGTTATTTAAACTTAAAATGCTGCTTGGGTAGGTTGGTAGGGTTTACCTACCCTACCAACCTACTCATCACAATAAATAAAATATAATTTTTAAACCATACATATTAGAAATTGTAATTTACAATATTATAATTTTTAACCTATTGTAACCTCCTATAATTGTTACCGTAAATAAAATTGTATTTTTTATGTTTAACCTAGTAGCTTAAATTTGGATTTTATTTTGATTTTTTTTGATTTACCTACCTAGTAGGTTTCATTTTTTATATTTATAGCGTATACTTTTTATACTAGAGGGCCCAAGAGGACAAATGGACCAAAAGTCATTCTTCATAAAAAGTTCTGCTTGTTTTTAAAAGTCTATTAGGTACTATACTTTTTAATTTTATACGGAGGGTCGAAAAACAAGAAAATATGAAATACTCTCAGGAATAAACTACCTTTATTTTTCGTTTTGGAGCAAAATGACAAATAATATTATAAGGATATCCTATCCAAAGACTAATTGTAAAATTTCAACTCAGTATTCCAAATTTTCTTTTTCTTATAAAGTTTTAAAATTTAATTTCTAATTTATACTTTTGTACCTTATTTCACGTATCCTTTACCTATGTATAGGGTTCTTAACCCGGACATTTTGTATAAATTTACATTAATTACCAAAATGAACAATGAAAGAATGCAAATTGTCAATTTGACGTTACTTGATTATTGTTGATTGTGTCATTTTTGTAAAATTTAATATTTAATATGAAATTAAATTTTAAAACTAAGAAAAATAAAATTTGGAATAATATTCCAAATTTTATTTTTCCGAATACCAAGTTAAAATTTTACAAATGGTCTTTGAATACAATTTGAAATCTTTTTTTTATTTGTCATTTTGCTCCAAAACGAAAAATAAAGGTAGTTTACTCCTGAGAGTATTTCATGTTTTCTTGTTTTTTGACCCCCCTGTATAATATTTTCAAATTTAAAGTATGGCAATAGACTTTTTTAAACAAGCAGAACTTTTTATAAGGAATGACTTTTGGTCGAAAAATGAAAATTTTAGTCCATTTGTCCTCTTGGGCCCTCTATCCATGGACATACTGTATAAAAAAATAAGTTGGTTTTTTATCGTCTCCGCCCCCCCCAAAAAAGTGCCTCGGTAGGGCTCTAATGCTACTGTAGAATGAGAACCTCTACTCTATAGATTTCTGGTCAAATTCTTGGCCAAGAATCTGGAACAATTCTTGTCCCATTCTTGATAAAAAATCTGTACAAAGTATCTTGACCCATTCTGGCCCAAGTCTTGCCCAATAATCTTGGCCAAGAATCTGGAACAATTCTTGTCCGATTCTTGATAAAAAATCTGTACAAAGTATCTTGACCCATTCTGGCCCAAGTCTTTGACAAAATTGCTACTAGGGTAGAAGTTGTCAAACTTTTTTTATTTTTTTTATTTTATAAATTTGTTGTTTCTTTGTTAAAAAGTGTTTTATTTTTATCGTAACATAAATTTGCCCATTTTAGTTGGGTTTTTTGCTCAATGGGGCGGGGGGGGGCCCAATGGGGCGGGGTCGGTTGGGTTGTGTTGTTAAGTTTTGGGTTGGTTTGGTTTTATGACGTAACTAACGTGCCCTTAACATGTATACAGGTACAATTTATTATTATTATTATTTTATTATAACATAACAAATCTTTAAATTATGACGTCAATCGGGACTGAACTTAAGTCCCGCCTCGGGACGGGAGCCACAGCGTATTTTTTATAAAAGAATGTTTACAACGAATTATCAAACAATCAAACAAAATATTCCGGTAGACAACTGAGGGAAAAAAAGGCTTTTCCTCTGGGAAAAAATCTCCCGACTTTTACGCGAAAACAGCTATATACCCGGACAACATTCGTGATATTCATACGAACATCATGTCGTGATTTTCAGAAATTTTATTCATATTGGTATCATGCGGAAGTCACCGCGTAATAAATGAAAATCATACGAACGTCACGTCGTGATTTTCACAAATTTTATTCATACGGACATCATCCAGATGTCACTGCGTGAGAAATGAAAATCATGTCGTGATTTTTTATGCCATCGCTGTTTGCGATTGACCGATGCCCTAAAAAATCATGTCGTGATTTTTTATGCCAACGGTGTTTGGATAATCATTTTTGCGCCACGTTCGTACACTAAGAGAAAAATTATGTTGAATCAACAGTTTTTGCGGTTAAATACATTTAATATTTTCTTGGATTTAAATTAACTATTAATTTAAATCCAAAAAAATATTGAATGTATTTAACCACAAAAACTGTTGATTCAATGTACGAATGTGACGCAAAAATAAATATCCAAACACCGATGGCATAAAAAATCACGACATGATTTTTTATGCCATCGGTGTTTGGTCATAAAAAATCACGATATGATTTTCGGTGTTTGAATATTCATTTTTGCGACACATTCGTACATTAAAAGAAAAAGTATGTTAACAATTGAATCAACATTCAATATTTTCTTGGATTTAAATTAAGGTAGTTAATTTAAATCCAAGAAAATATTAAATGTATTTAACCGCAAAAACTGTTGATTCAACATAATTTTTCTCTTAGTGTACGAACGTGGCGCAAAAATGATTATCCAAACACCGTTGGCAAAAAAAATCAAGACATGATTTTCATTTCTCACGCAGTGACATCCTGATGATGTCCGTATGAACAAAATTTGTGAAAATCACGACGTGACGTTCGTATGAATTTCATTTATTACGCGGTGACTTCCATATGATATCAGTATGAATAAAATTTGTGAAAATCACGACGTGATGTTCGTATGAATATCACGAATGTTGTCCGGGTATACCCTATAGGTTTTAAATTCGCAGTTCGCAGGGCTCATACACATGCGCAAATTTTGCAAATATCACACCGTGAGTTCTACATGATATCACTGTGATGAAGCATGTGTATGCACTCAGGATATCACAGCGTGATAAAAAAAATCACGTTGTGATATCATCATGACTTCACCAGGAAATCCCGATTGTTGTCCGGGTATAACCATGTCAAATGTATCAATGAATTTCTATTTAATTTTTAGTAACGATGATAACCAAACAAAAAAATACTTTAAATCAATTTTGAAATTCGGCACGTTTTTTTTTTATTAAGTACCCAAGAATTTTACAACAAAGTAATATAATATTTTATAATCATATTTTTGTTTAGTCATTATCAAGATAAATCTCACAAGAGAGTGAGAATAAATTGAAAATATTTTGACAATCTTTCGAAAACTTGTTGTCTGGAAATAGCCATGAGAGCCCATAGGGCTCAATGGGCTATTATGACAAGTTTAACAAATTTTCTAAAGATTTATTTTCTAATTTATTGAACTCTCAAGTGGTATTTAAAAGATTATTTTTTGACATAAATTATAGACTTTTCTTAGGTTTTGAATAATGTACAGTAGGTTATTCCCACTATAATAATGTTTTCATTGATTAACACATACACACATGAATTTGAAATTTTATATTGGTTTTTAGAAACGTCAAAAAGTAATCTACAGATTTTTACAATAATCAATAAAAATTCATCGACACATTTGACGGTGTTTAACTTAAACTTAGTTCAGTATTAAATTTTAAATATTAATGATCTAAAAAAGTAAACAGTGATGTTAGTTTAAAATATTTCCTTTTCCCATGCATGAGTTTTGAAGTCCAAAGAATCGCATGAAAAATATAAATTAAAAAAAAATATATAATTATTTTGTCAAAATTAAAACATGGCAACATTACATTTTCAGGGGGTTAAAATGAAAAAAAATACCTGTAACGAAATAACATTCCCAGACTTCTCCAACCAATTGCCGCTTAATAGTGCGGCAAAATACTGGCACCTAGACGCCAATATGCACTTATGCGCCTTCAACTTGTGCCCGTCCACTTCCACCACAACATCGGGCCCGACCTCCTCCAAAAACATGCGCAGCAAATCCGTGCCCAGCCTTCTAACCGCCTTTCTGGGCCGCGACGTTTCCAGGCTGGAAATGGTGTCCGAATCGGACAGTTCGTCGTTTTCGGGTTCGAGCGGATGGGGGGCGCTGCGATAGCCGGCCGAACGGGACATCAGTAAAGGGCTCTCGACCCAGTGGCTCTCGGGGATGGACCGGCTCATGCGAGGCGTAAAGTTGAGGTCCACGCGCGGTTTTTGACATTCCAGGTCGGAGAGCTTGACGAACTGAACAGCCTGAAAAGCAAATGTTAATAAGAACATTTTGGTTCCGACAGGTTTTTTGGTTTATAAAATTATTGTAATTAAATAATATTAAAATGTTAATAGTATATTATGTATCAAGTTTGATAAACGCCATTTTATACACGAATTTAATGAGTGTATAGAAACGTTTATAAACAAGGTGCATACTATACTTTTTCTACGACAAATACACTCGACCGCAAAATTAACCGGACACTTTGTTTTTCGGGAAAATATATTTTATAAATAAGAAAATATAAACAAATTTTAATTATTTTTAATAAATCCCTTATTATTGAACATTTTTAACCAGAAAAAATTAAAAAAACATTTGTTAATTATTTATAAAAAAACATTTTTGAAAAATAAAACAAACTAATATCCTTTATTTAACAGAAAAAATACAAAAAAATGCCCCAATAGCGAGTATTTCCACCTCTAGCTCGAATGACAGCTCTTAGCCTTTCAGGCATGCTTTGAATTAAAGCAGCCACATTACCCTGAGGTATCTACTCCCATTCAACCAAAAGCGCTTCTTCCAATTGAACCAGTGTGTGAAACTCCCCGTAGTTTTGCCTAATTCTTCTCCCTAGGTTATCCCACACATGCTCAATGGGATTCAGGTCAGGACTTCTAGGTGGCCAGCCCAGAACCAGAATACCAACGTCGTGAAGGTACTGACGCGTTACCTGGGCTGTGTGCGGCCGAGCATTATCCTGCATAAGGAAGAATTGGTCTCCAATAAAGGGTGCATAAGGTACCACATGTTCTTCGAGACACTCCCTTATGTACCTGTCAGCGTTTATACTACCCCCTTGAAACGTTACAAGTGCCGTACGAGCCTCCAAAGAAATGCCTCCCCAAACCATTACACCTCCACCGCCAAACTGTACTCTGGGAGAGAAGCAGCACTGAATATATCGCTCTCCGGGTCGTCTAAACACGTGTTGTCGACCATCAGGTGAGTATCTGGTGAAACGGGACTCATCCGTAAAGAGAACACGACTCCATTCAACCATACCCCAATCGACATGGGTTCGCGCAAATTCCAAGCGCTGTCTACGATGGGCTGCGTCCAACAGTGGGCCAGTGGCAGGTCGAGTTCTTAGTACAGTACCTGATGAAATGGTTGTACCATGAACATCTTCCAATCTCCTAAGGCTGTAGCAGGAAGTGTCCGGTCTCGCAGAACTTGAAGTCGAAGAAAACGGTCTTCAACTTCACTTGTTGATCGCGGTCTTCCTTGTCCAGGTAATCTTGAATAGGAACCTGTTTCCCTAAACCTTTGAATTGCATCAGACACTGTACTTCGGGGAATATTTAGTGAGTTGGCAATATAACGTATGCTGCGTCCATCATTGTAAAGTGCAACAGCTTGAGCGGCTTCTTCGGGAGTCATTACAGATTTTTTAAATAAAAATAACTTTTAAAACAAACTTAGAAAAACCGTAAAAGGCCAAAAACAAACAGGAATAAAAATTAATTGAAGAGCTCTTTTAAATAAGTAATGAATTAAAGAGGTCTTCCAAACAATTAAAATGTTAAAGATATAAAAAATGTATAAAACAATGTCATCGTAGTATTTTAAAGCCTAAAAAACTTTAGAATAAATTAATCTTATATTTTTTTATGTGTGTATAGTTGTTACATCAATATACAGGGCGTTTAAGAAATTTTATTAAGGAAAAATCAAGTGTCCGGTTAATTTTGCGGTCGAGTGTACTTATTATTTTCTTAAAATTATTTAAATCAAAAATTTGTGTAGAGCGCCATCTATGAAACAATAGGGGAATCTGTGTGTCACTGTCAAATGTCATTTTTTTTTATTTTATAAACACTGATTATAAAGGTTATAAATCGAAATATATTTCTTGAAAATTGGCAGTTTTTCACAGTGAAAGTAAAGAAAATGTTTTATGAGTCCGAATTTAAGTTATAGTTAATTTAAGTTATAGTTTACTGCCGGCGAAATTAAAAGGTCAGTATATGTACATAAACTTTTCAAATATTGGCGTTGAGAAACTATTTAATACTTTTGTATTTTTGTATTAAGATAATAAAATAATTTTCACATTTAGTATTATTTTGCAAGAAAGGCACTTTATTTTAACGATTGTATGACATTTGACAACTGTCAACTAAAACTAACTTCAGCCCGTGACTAAAAACCTGTTGCTAACTAAACCGCCATAAAGCCACAACTTGTCAATGTGTATTTAAAAGGTCACTTAGTGTCATGAAAACATGTACGATAAAGGGCGTTTTAAAGGTGGGGGTAGAAAAAATATTTTAATAAATAAACTATCTATAAGTTAAACGTTACACTCGACACTAAAGTAATTTATTATTATTAAAAGCAGTAAACAACAAAAAAAATTGAGGCTAGTAATTGGTTCGTTTTATTTGCGCCAGTGGCAATTGGAGTAAAGCATAGAAAACTAGAGATGTAATAAAACCGTTTTTTCAGATGTGAAAAAAACATGAAAAAAAACTAAAAAAAACCGGTTTTTTTTTCAAATCTGCCACAAGAAAGCATATTCTGTCAATTTTAAAAAATGGAGTAATTTTTCAAAATGAAATTTTGAGTAAAATGTATATTAAGTGAATTGTAGACAGGGCCGTAGCGACGGACTCAGGGGCCCCGGTGCAAAACTTTTCAGAGGCCCTCTATTTTAAAACTTTATGTTTAAAAGTAGAACTTGCCTTCGCGTTATTATTATAGGGTAATGAAATAACATGAAATATAATGGGTTTTTCATAAAGAGTTTACATTTACATTCACAATTTTATTTTTTTAAGTTCATAATATATAATAATTTTTTATTTACATTTATATATTTTTAAAATATTGTTTTATATTTACATAATTTTTTATTTATAATTATGGTACAAACGGTGCCTCATAAAAAAAACGAAATGAAAAAAAAATCTTTTTCCCATAAGAAAACAATCATGCGCATCAAATAGTCATGATAATATTTCAATATTAATTAATTTCATTTACCGTCAAATCCATCGGTTGGTTTGTCAGGTGCGGTGTTCGCATCTTGATTGATACTGAACCATGAAGTCAGTTTTTTTGTATTTTCGACACTTGCACTTTCTTTACGCTTTTTCTCAGCCCTTTTTTGATGACCGCTTGAATATGTACGTTTCATATTGTTTCAATCGATTTCAAACATCAAACGTCCACGAAGAAAACAAGAATTGTGAATATTGTTTTTATGTGAAGTTAGCAGCGCTTTCGAAACCCAGCAGTGTGAGTAATTCATACATGTGCGATGAACACATGTGTGGTTTTTGAAATAAAGGAGATTGAAAGTTTAAAACGGATATCCTGCAGGATATCGATTTTTATCGATAGGATAGGATAGGATATCGAAAATTACGATTTTTTAGTAAAACTTTTTAGTTTTGGGGGCCCCTTTGAGGTCGGGGGCCCTGGTGCACCGCACCGCCTGCACCAGCCTCGCTACGGCCCTGATTGTAGAATATATTACATTTTTTATTATTGAAAATTTTGACCAAACCAATAGAAATGTAAAACTTCTACACTAATAGAAAAAATTAAAGGATAAAAAAAAATTTCGGATAGCTGTATCTTTTTTAAAACTGGTCGTATTGGAGCCGTAAAAAAACAATTTGAAGCTTAAAGTTTCTAGTTTTGAGATTTTTAGATGAAAAACGTGCAACGCTCAATCCTAACGAATACCGTATAAAAAAAATTAGAAATTTTGTTGGCTTCTTTTTTGGTCCACGGAATGTTCTGACCACCAATTAATAAATGTTCTACAAGAATTTGCTAGTTTTTTTGAAAAAAAAATTCCATACTCTACATGAATTTGAAAAATCATCATCAGCTTTTTGAAAAATCAAGCGCTGAATCAAAAATATTATATGCAGTTACTTTTTTTAGGACCAAATTAAAACAAGCGCGGCCCTTATTGGTCAATTCGGTGGTGGTGGCGCGTGCATAGCGCGAGACTGTATTTACATTTACTAAATGTCATTTAGTGGCTAATTTTAGTCCATGAACTGGACTGGAAACATACAAAATTTGAAAAAAAAACAATGAAAAAAAACCTACTCTCTAAAAGTGAAACAGTGAAATTTTCACTATTTCCGCCAGTGAGTTATTATTCACTGTAAAATTAGTGCTTTTCAATATAAATTAGTGAAATTTTAACTTCTCCAAATTAGTGTTTTTTATTATCACTACTTTTTCGGAACTCTCGACATAAAATAGTGAAATTTTAACTTTTTTGAACTAAACCTATTTCACTAATATGTACAGTGTAATTTCCACTAAATAAATTAGTGCAAAGATATCGCTACATGAAAAAGTGAGTATTCACTAATTGCTAGTGGTATACTTATCACTGCGGCAAATAGTTAATATGCACTGTCAATCAGTGAAAATCCACTGTTTCATTTTTAGAGAGTAAAAAGAACAAAAAAACGGACCGTTTTTTTCAAGTGGCATCTCTATAGAGAACTATGGGAGAAAGTGAGACTAGAACCGTCTGGCAAATGTTTAATTTTATAAAAGTAGGTATACAAGATGCGATATAATGATTTGGAAAGAAGTGAGGTTAGAACTCTCTGAGAGATGTATTAATAAATTAGTTGCACCTTTATAATCTGTGGTTCCAGCCTTGAATTTGTAAAAAAAAAATGTGTGAAAAAAGCTGTGTTATTCAGTGTACACCACCTGAACTTGAAAGTCACCTAGTAATTCAGTAATTCAGGCAAAATCCAAGTTACATGAAGATAGTTACAAAAGTTTAGATAAATTTTGTGACTTTTCAACTCTTCAACAAGGGATGAACTTTTCTGAAAGTATTTTGCGGGTCTATATACAATCCTTTAAAGAAAAAATATTTTATGCCATTCAGCCAAAGGCCCAATGAACTGAATAAATATTTTTTAAGCACAAAAGTTAAAAAAAAAAATTTACAATTAGGGAATATTATTTAGTACATTTAAATACA